ATCTTCACTGACAAATTTGTTCCTTCATTTGATTCTAGGCAACACCAGGGCTACCAGACCTCAGTCTGGCTGAGAAGACCCACATTTAGATTTCTGTTCTGCTAGAAATTCTGGAATTGCTAATTGAAATCTTTATGTATGTATGTATGTATGTATGTATGTATGTATGTATGTATTTATTTTAGTGCCGATTACACTGGCCGGCCTGGGGGAGTGAGATTGCATTTTACTAAATTCCATCAAGCTCCTAAGTAGTTGTTGACATTCTAACAGAGAGGAAGCAGCAAGACTATCTAGGGACTGATGAGCACAGGATCCAGATGAGGGTTCTGTGGGTGGAAAGAGGCGGGGAATGGGCTGGTGTTGGGGGAGAGCCACGTGCTGGATGTGGGTTATTGTCAAGTCCTAGCTTTTGTTTTGGGTGGTGAGTCGTGGATGCTTATTACATTATTAAAAATTACTAATTTAAAAAGCTGACTAAATAAAAGCAGGTTATGCATGGACCAGGATGGAAGGCTCTCATGAACCAAGGATTATGGTTAATCCAATTCTATGCACTTGAGTTCTGGACAAAAAACAAAAAAAAACATCGAAAACAAGACTGTTTAAAAGGATGGTCTGAGGGGTGCCTGGGTGGCTCAGTCGTTAAGCGTCTGCCTTCGGCTCAGGTCATGATCTCAGGGTCCTGAGATCGAGCCCCACATTGGATTCTCTGCTCAGCGGAGAGCCCCGCTTCGGGCTCTCTGCTTCTCCCTCTCCCACTCCCCCTGCTTGTGTTCCCTCTCTCGCTGTGTCTCTCTCTGTCAAATAAATAAAATCTTAAATAAATAAATAAAAGGATGATCTGAGATTTAGATTTCATGATGTGCATTCTTTTTTTTTAATACTAGCTTTGATTTTTTTTTCTCACTAATCTTTCAAACACCATTTTTCTTCTTCCATTTCAATAGTAGGGTCTCCCCATGCAGGTTACATAAAGGGTTCATTAAGGTCTCAGATATCAGGAATCGGGTTAACCCCTTTGGTGGGTGCCGAAGTCTCACGAGGGCAGAAGGGAGGTCTGGACTTGCTTCCAGAAAGGAGACCTTGCCCAAGCAGTTGGACACAGCTGGTGCTGGGTGTGGGGTGATGCTCTTAGCCAAACGGGCTGATGTTTTCTGCTGGATGTTACGGAGAGGGGAGGGAGACTGTTGGTGAGACCAGCTCTACAATAAGTCACGGCTCTCACACTCAGAACACCCTATTTTGGGGATGCAGGACATTTTTTTATTGCTATTTGTCTGCTCATCAAACATTCACTGGGCACTGAGCATGATGCTGTTGCATGCTCTGGGCCCCGTGCTAGCCTTCAGGGGTACAGAACTCGTAGAGAGTACCTTTTCTGGGTTGCACGCCATGCTACGGGCTTTGTATATGTTCTTTTTCTTATCCTCACAGCACCCCCACTTTGTTGCTTCCCTGACTGGGGCTCTGGCCGTACCCTAGGACAACGGTCAACTGCGTGTCCTTTTCATTTGTGTGGCGGGAGACACTGGGTGTAATGAAAAGGCAAAGGGCTCTGAATGCAGGCTGCTTTTGGTCCAAGTCCCAGGGTCCCCACTGACCTGCTTGGGACACCTGTTTAAATCCACCCCTTGAAGCCTCAGGCTTCTCATCCGTCAAATAGGAGAGAAACTCTTATCTCACGGGGCTGTGTGGGGTAATTCATAACAAGCATTTTGTATTTCCGTCACATAGTAAATGTTCAGTAAATGGTCTCTATTACTTTTATCCTCAAGAGTGGGATCTGTAAATAATTTATATTCCCAGCAGCCCAATACCTGCTAACATGTTCATTACCTGTTTGGTGAATGAGTGAATGAGTGCCCTTTGAGAACGAGAGCCCAGTTATACCGCTCTTCTGACTACTTTCTTGTCAGCCCCCTGGCAGCTCCAGGACAGGTAAAGCTGCCCCCTCTGACCTGGCTTCCACATCTCTGGCCAGGACTTAGTTGTAGCGGAGGACAGGAGAATCCTTTGGCTCAGCACCATGGAGGGAAGGAAGGAGGACTCTGGTCTTTCTGCTGACACTTGCCCAAAGGCAGAACCACCACTCAACAACAAATGTCTTCTTGTGCTATTCCGGAGCTTCCTGAATGCTCCTAAGAATGCGGCTGACTTCAGAAGCTCCTTCTCCTCAAGAATCGGGGTGTCAGACCAGCCTTCTCCAGAAGCAAGGACTGGGCCCCAGCTTTGCCAGCAGCCAGACAGCAGTGACCCCTGAGACCGTGGGCACAGACAGGCTTCTCATTCCTGGCTGTAATGCCCAGCCCCCACTATCTGTACCCCCCCCACCCCCAAGTCTGTGATTTCCTTTCAGGAGCCATGGAAACAGCAGTTAAAGCTCTGAGGATGATGTCAGGGGAGATAGGAGCTCACGCCGGCAACTAACCTCCCACTCCAGTTCCATCTTCCCAGAGGCCCTGCGCTCTATGAGTTGACCTTTCACCCCCCGTCCCCTCCCCAGTCACTCAAATGAACACCACTGCTTGGGGGGGCCCTGGATGGGGGACAGCATCCTGGGCCAGGAGGCAGGAGGCTTGACTTCAAATGGGGGCTCTGCTACTCACTGGCTATGGGATTTTAGACAAGTCACTTGTTCTTGGAACCTCAGGATGCTCATCTGTAAAATGGGATACAATTACCCACCTTGAAGGTCTGGTGTGGGAACTGCAAGGAGATAATGCACATGGGAGGGAATCTCGAAATCACAGTCACTGCTAAGGATTGGTTACCGAGGCATGGCAACAGGCCTGGGAGATCCCAGCCCCGGATTCGCCTGTCAGTAGGTGCTAAAAATAAGTATTATTCTCATCTCTTTAGCTTGGTCAGCAGAACGGAGAGATCCTGGCAGACCCCAGAAAACCTCACCCGAGCCTTGCTGTGGACAGCCCCTGTGGATTCTGCTTACAGAGAGCAATTTAAGAGGCAAACAAAACATGAAAAGCTATTCAGAATGAACAATGGGCCAGATGGTAATGCTAGTTTGAAGCAATAAAACATGATAAATAGCTTCCTGCTGCTACTCCTGATCAATTTCAATATTTAATAATTCCACTGCCACCCCCACCCCCTCTTCTGGCCCCCTCCACGGGATCCTGCGGTGACTCCCTGCGTTCAACTCACAGAACAAACACTTCTTCACTTTCTGAAGGCGTCAGCGAAAAGCGCCCCGCTCAACTGTCATGTGAGCGCTCTCCGTCCTCGGGATGATCGTTAATCTGCCTGATTCTGAAGACGCTCCATCTCAAGCCTCTCCTAGTTGCCAGGGAAGGCTGTGAGGGCTCTCCACCCACCGAGACGCGGTGGAACTCACCTTGTTGATTCAGTGCCTACTGGTATTCCCTGAGTTTTGCTCTGAATTCAAGAAAGGAGAGCAGTAGGGAGCTCGGTGGTCATCCTACTCCGGGATCAACTGGTAGGATCAAGCAGCCCAGAAGGGAAACGGTGGGGCTGGGCCGTGCCCACCGTCTATGCTGTTGAGCCTCAGCCTCCTCTCTGCAATGGAGGCGATTCTACCTCCTTCCAGAATTCCAGCCAGGGCTGTGCACATGAAGCACCCGGCAGAGTGCTTACGCGTAGGACTCGCCCAACCACTGGCAGCCGATAGCATCATTATTAAAGGGTGATGATCTCTGCGGTCAAAAGCTGTAGCCCATGGGTGTGGGGCAGGATGTGGCAGGGAGCAACCCACGCTCACACAGAACCACCCCTGGGATTCTCCCCAAGCAGCAGCCACTAATAAGATGAGCCGCTTTGTACCGTCAGCAAGGGCTCCACATTCCTATCCACGGACACTGAGACCGCCGGGCGCCCCTGGCAAGCAGGGACTGTTGGCCCCATTTACAGAAGAGGAAGTGGAGACAGGAGGCAGAATGGTTTTCCAAGCTTACACGGGGAGAAAACGGCACAGTCAATTGTAATCTGGCTCTCCCAAAATCTGATTTCTTGTCCTTTCCACCAAACCACAGGAGAAAGCTCTCCCTGAGGCGCCCCCTCCGCCCGGCGTCCCTTTTGCATGGAGGCAGCCCAGGGGAGGGAAGCCTGGGTGCCCGGTCACCCGAGCTACACCCTACCATCTGTGAAATGCAAATGCTGATACCTAGTGCATTGGTTCATGGGGACATTTAATGAAGGACTATGCAGGGAAGCACGGTGTAATTTTACGATGAGCTATACAAATGTCAGGTATGGTTATTATGCCTTTTTGGAAAAACACACTGTGTGAGGAAGATCAGAAACACGGTCACCCCAAGGTGGATCCTTCTAACGGAATCCTTCACCCTCCCTTGATCTAGAGGATCAAGAGCAAACTCTTTTATGTGGATTCAAGGCCTCGATGGCTCTTGCAACCCCATCTCTGCCCCTTCTCCCTTCCCTTCCAGCCCCTCCAAGCTTCTTGGGGTTATCTGAGCCTTCCACATGTGTCCGTGTCTCGGCCAGATCACACCTGCCAGAGGGGTCCGTGCTGCCCTGTTCACTGGCTGACCCCACTCACCCTTCTCCAAGAAGTCTTCCTTGGGTCTCCCTCGACAGGAGCTCCTCCGCTGGGCTCCCAATAACCCCTCGGCACCCCTCCCCAAGCCAGCGCTGGGCTCTCCTCTGCCTCCCTGCTCTACAGCGAGTGAGAGCCAAGTGCTACTCGTTCCCATCTGTCCAGGGCCTGGCCCAGCACACAGTAGTACATGTGTGCTGAGGGATGAACACATGAATGGCCTTAAGCAGAAACAAGAGATTCTAATGGTGGAACTCGAATTTGAGTGGGCACCGCCTTGGTATCGGAATTCAGGATAGTGCTCCTGGATTCAAATTCAGCTCAATCCTTCCAGCAATGTCTAGAGCTGACAGGATAACTTCCTCTTTCCCCAACCTTGACCCTGAACAAGAAGGAACCAAAAGGGTACCGCCCATCCATCTGGACTCCCACTAGACGTGGTGGAGGCCAGGAATCAGGTACCTACCCGAGTCCCGCTGGTCCAGGGTCATGGAGTTCCACCTCCTTGTGATGTCAATATAGAGGATGTCCACAGCCGCCATGGACAAGCTGCTGCTGCTGAGCTTGCAGTTCCTGCCAAAGACGGGAGGGGACATGTTACTGCTAGATGGAGCACGCCCTCTTCCGGTTTGCCTCCATGTCTTTGCCAGGGCTGGGTCCCCTGCCTGGAAGGCCCTCCCTTCCCACAGCTGGAACTAGTGGTGGGCATACGGCAGGGGGGGTGGGAGAGAAGCCTGAAAATGTAAGTTAAGGTTAGATCATGGTGGGTTTCTGTCATTTGGTCAATTCTAAAGGGCTGGAAAGAGCAAGGACTTGAGCATGGCACGTCTTGCGTTGAATCTGGTGCTGCCACTTCGAAGCTGATGGCCCTGGTGAATCCATGTCTCCTTCCTGAGTCTCAGTCTCCTCCCTTATAAAGCAGTCACTGTGTTTTGGCCTGTTCTAACACCTACCAATGGAGGTCTCTGCCTGCTCCGAGGGGGAAATGAAAATCCCATGTTTCAAAAATACACCCTATGCATGTCTTCACCTCCACATCCATTAGTCTCTAGGAGGAGAAAGAAAAGCCGGACCTGGGTGCTCTGCTCTCTTCCCAGTGTCCATTGGCCGACAGTGGCACACTCATGGGACCCAATGATGGGTCCCAACGGACCCAACTGATGTCACTGATTGAGACAGAAGATATTGCTGCTATCCAGAAGTGATTCCCCGCTGGAATGCTCACCAGATGAGTCCCTACAGACAGGGGCTTGAGGCTTCTGCACTTCCATCTAAATCTGTCCCCCGAGATTTCACATGGGACCCGAACAGCCACAGCGAGCCCGAGACTTCCAGCGCACTGGCCCACACCCCTTTGCATGGGCTGAGGCACATCGCTGCGGGACCCCGCCACGCTCATTCCTGACTTTGGGGAGTCATCTGGAAGTGGCAGGGGCGGGGACAGGCTGGCCTCAGAGTTTCAGAGGTTCCCCTAGTTTATTTCCTCTGGTGCAGAGAGGCCAAGATGACCAGGTTTTCAGTCCCACATCAGCTCCCGGTTTGAGCATAGAGGCATGTTTGCAATCCTCCTCCTCCTCCCCTCTTGGTTTTGTTTCGTTTTGTTTCTTGTTTTTTGTGTTTTTTGGGTCTGGAGATGTGGGGAGGCAGTCTGGCACACTGAAAAGAACGTGATTTGGGCATCAGACAGACCAGGATTGAAATGCTGGCTCTGCTGCTTTTTCTAGCTGTGCGGCTGTGAGCATTTACTCAAACCTTCAGCGCCTTTATTTGCTGATACCTAAAAAGAAGAGAAGAATATCCGCCCACGTGGCGGGGGTGAAGATGAGATGAGGCAGCGCATGCCAAGGACCCAGCATGGTGCCTGGCACCCAGGTGGCCCACAATTGTTGGTTCTCCTCCCGATCTCTCACCCCTTTCCCATTTCCTCTTCCAGAGCTAGAAAGCGGGAACTTCAGAGGCTGCTTGGGGCTGATCTTTCAGCAAGTGGCCCTGTCCATTCTGGAGAAATGGTGCCCGCCAGTCAGACTGTCTGGGTATGAGAGCCCGGGCTCTCTGTCCAGACTAAAGGTAGCCCTTGGCTTGTCCAGATGCACCACCTTCCTGAACAGGGTCATGCTGGGAAGCGAGTCCCAACACAGACTTGATTTGCCCCGGGAATCCTGAAGCTAGACCTCTGGGCCCGCTGTCTGTTTGGCTGAACTACATTCAATGCTGCTTTTAACTCTCCGAACGTGCCCTCATCCACTGCCCCAGCTAATGATAAAGTGGTTCTTTGATTTCCCATTTGTCATCAGCCCTTGTGTGAATAGCTCCCTTAGGAACCCGGCAGAGAGGGGTTGATCGGCACGCAGGATTCGGGCACCCCGAAACCCCTCTCCAAACCCATGCACACCCCTGCCGGTGGTGGTTGGGAGTGTGCCCGGCATGGTGCCCAGACGAGACTGGTGTTCTTTACGTGCCAGCGCACCTGCTCGCTCCCTCCCTCCCTCTTCCTTCCTGTCTTCCCCACTAGTATTTCTCAGGCCATCAATTCACATCCTGCTCCCTCCTGGGCTCCTGCTCCATATGTCAATCACAAGTCACCGGTGGCAGACTTCAAACACATCAGCGCACAGTTATTGAGCCCCGGTAACAACATGTCAATGGACGGAGAGCTTTTCATGTTGCATGTCACCCAGGTGGCTATCTCTATTGGGTTCCACCGCAGACAATGCTCCAGCTTCTCCCAAGGTGTGCCGACAGCCTGCACTGCTCATTTTCAAAGCTTCATTAGGAAGGGCCACCGCGTTCCCCTAATTATCATATCGGTGTGCTCTGGACTACCTGCTCCCCCACAGGACAGGAGCTCTGCCCGGCTTGCTCTGTGGGGTGATGGAGTATAAAAAGGGAAACCAAACTGACCACTGGTATATAGTTTTTTTTTTTTCCTGACAGGTAGAAAATAGAAGTGTCAAACCTTTAGCAGGAGCCGTAATTTACCAAAGAGAATTCTCCGTTTATCCCTGTTCCAAGGTAACTCATCCTCCCTAGTGATGCCTGCAAACACAGTTGGTTGCTACATCTGGTGCCCGGACAGGGGAAGGGGGGATCCATGCTGGCTGCAGGAGACAGGAAACGCTTTAAAAGAATTTTGATTCTGTAGGCATTTCTTGGGCACCCATCCATAGGCCAGGCCCTTTCCTGTCCGTTGGCTCTCTGGATCTTTATAACCACCCTGTGATGGAAGTATTCTTAATCCCATTTCAATGACAGGTAAGCTGAGACTCAAGAGAAGGAACTTGACTTGCCCAAGATCACGCAGCGGGGATTCACATCCGGTCCTCCCTTGGAGATTTGGGGAAAAGTTGGGAGATGACCCAGCCCAGGGCCGTAGGAAGAACACAGGACCATAGGAAGAACCCAGGACTCAAGTCATAGTCTCAGGTGGGGCCCAGTAAGGCCAGAGCCTCTAGAGAGACCTGTTGGGAAGCTTTGGGATATAGGGCTGGGGGAAGTCAACCAGGGTCACTTGGGGAGAGTCTCCTAGGTTTGTCCCTATAGTGACCAGACATTCTCAATTGACCCAAACAGGGAGGGCCTCCTTGTTTGGAGGGTCAAGACTTTAGAATGAATTTTTCATCTATCCATCCACTCAATACAGAATGTATTTTGTGTTCACTATGCGTAGATGGTACTCTGAGCCCAGTGAGTGACGCAGGGCTGAATCCGTCTTGGATGCCACTCTCAGAGGGTGGAAGTGATCTCAGAGTCTGGGATAAAAATGTGAATTCTTGGTAGCTCTTAATCATTTGAACCATTTCCCCTTATGCCCTGGGATGAAATTCCTCAAATGAACTAAGGAGTGGAGGGATAAATTCTTCAGTGGAGGAGAAGTCCAAGAAATATGGTAACAAGAGAAGCCAGGACAATTCTTAAGAAAGGATAGGCTGGAAAGGTGTATGGGAAAAAAGAGCTCTGAGTCAAATGCACATGAATTTGAATCTTGACTTTGCTATGTGATCTTGAACAAGTCACTGAGGTTCTTTCCTTATTTGTACAATGAGGATAAGGCTACTCACCATTCAAAGCCATTTTAAGGACTAGTTCAGTGCCTGGTACATACAGGGAAGTAGCAAATGACAGCTCCCAGCCTTCCTCCATGATGTAGAACCACTTCGAAGAAATGTTTTTTGTTCTTTGTTTTTTTCCCAGAATCAAAGGAATTTGGGCACATATGATGGGAGATAATCACAAGTCATTCAAGGTTATTAGGAGCCCAAGTATAGAAAGATCTGAAATTATCATCCCCATTTTCTCTCAACAACTACTGACATCTCATGGGGAGTTTAGAAACCAACTTCTCCACTCCATAAAATCCTATTTATAGAATTTCTTTTGTGTTCATCCTTCTCTGTGAAAGAAAAGAAGCTTATTTTTCCTGGAGAGTTTTCTATAAGGTGAAAGCTAACAAATGATCAATATTTGTTAATAAAAAAAAAAAAAAACCAACACTAAATCGGAGGAGAAAACGACAACTCTGGTTTATAACATATATATTTTTAAAAGCTATTGATATCCCAGGCATAGGCTCTCACACTATTGCTGGAAAGAGATCATCACAGAACAGGGGGATTTTCAAAGTCACGAGGAGTTAATGACAGAGGGGGAGAGAAGGCCCTTTACACTTCTCTTCCAGAACATTCTAACACACCATGTTGCCTCTCAGAGCATAAAACCCCCCACAGCTACCCATTATGAAACATATTAATATCTCCCTATGAGAAAAGGGAGTGGAAGGGGAAAAAAAGGAAAAAAGAGAAAAACCATTCTCTAATTTAAAAGGAGAGCAGGATCAGAAACCACAAAGGGCCCGAGCAGGGCTCTCCAAGCGGACTGGCCTCGCGTGAAGCAGGAAGCAAATGCTCCAGGTGCGGAGAAGCTGCCTCCATTTCCTCGAAATGAACCCGGTTTTGGCAAACGCTTTAATCTGCAGGCTGTGGAAATGGAAAATGCAGCACGTGCAAACTGATGTCTGATTCTGATGGAGGATACATTTGCAGAACGTGTTCTTAGTGAATTACATAGAATGCCCCCCAGATTAGTAATCCAATGGAAGGGAACTAGCAAAAATGCATTTCCCTCAAAGAAAGCTGTCAAATTGAAGAATCAGATAATTTCTATTTCTCAGAGAAAGAGAAGTCTCCACGCCCCAGGAATTATTATGACATAAAAATAGAGAGAGAGAGAGAGAGAGAGAGAGAGAGAGAGAGAGAAAAGGCGCTTAATTCATGGTAATATGTGCTACTATTATGTGCCTCCTGAGGAAACGACATGAAAAGCTGGTTCGATGAGTTAAGTCTAGACAAGGGAACGACAGTTCATTATTTCTCATTTCTTGGTAGAAAAGAAAAATAGAATGTGGCCAGACTATCATTAGCATAATTCACTCCTAAAACTGCTGATCTATGCAGAACATTATGAGAGATGGTCACTGAAAATAAATTCGGTCAGATGTTTATTTTGTTCCCTCCAGTTCTCTTTGAGGAACTCGGAGAGAAAGAGTGGGTCGTCCAGGTGAAAGCCAAGTTCAGCTTCTGCCGTTTGTGTGGGAGATCTGAGAGGAGTGTATATCTAGCCAGCAAATATGTCTCTTGCGCAGTGCTCCAGAGAAGGGCACTTGGCTCGATTTAACATATGGCATAAATATTATTAATTCATAATGAAGCAAAATTTAAACCGAAATGGGAAGGAGAGAGAGAATGGTTGTTAGCAAGAGAAAATGCTTGCTGTTAAATTTAGCTGGCAAGACTGAACATACTTCGATAAATCTAAGCTCAGAGAATATCATCTTTCACGATTAAGTTGCTGTTGGGAATCTCTCGGTATATTTCAAAAGGAAAAATCTATTAACGGTTGTGCAACATTTTCTCCACTTCTTCCCACATCCTTAATTAGGCAGGACGTTGGCTGGGTGGGTGTGGAGGGAAGGGAGAGGGGCTCATTGTCCGAGTCCTCCTCCGGCTGCCTACTCCCCACCTGAAGACATTGTTTTCCTTCCTCGCGGTCGCCATGGTCACCATCACTCCCACAGACAGTGCTGGTGGCAGATTGGGAATAATGGTACAGGACCTAAGGGTCTTGAACCTCCCAAAAATCAATTTTACAGCAAATGCCCTTAATTATAGAGAAAAAAAAGGATGGAAAGAATCATAAAGCCTATCACATACGGACAGACTTGTAGTGATGTTTTTGACATCATCCAGTTCCAGTCTGAGAGTGTTTTAGGAATCCCCTTTGCTAGGACCATTCTCAATTCTGTTTCTTCTAAAATCAGGTATGAACATAGCAGTCCTCTTAGTATGTCCCTCGCCTCTCACACCAACGCTCACACATCGGTGGTCTCTATGGGTAGTCACACTTTGACTGAACCCACATGGTGTTTAAAAATTATTTTCTGAACCGCCAACATCAATAGACATATATTGGGATTTTACATAAAAATCAGCATTTCTAGCTTCTCTTGAAAAATCAAAAGCTCTGGTGATACTCCCCCAGCACAGCCTTTCCTTTAGCCAGGGCATGTGTTCTCATGCCCGCCGTACCCTGGGCCCCCTTCCTTCCAGATTCCACCTGCTGGCTTCTGCTTCCAGCCTACCTCTGGAGGCAACTGAGATTGTGATTCTTATGGTGTGTTATTTTTTTCAAATCTTCACCTACCCCCGTCTCTTATGTTTCAGTAGAATTTTATTAGGAGTTAGAGGGAAGCATCTGACATCTCCCTTCTTCCTTCTTCCTGCCTGGAACTCGACCATGATGGCTGGATTCTGAGCAGCTATCTTGTGACTGTAAGGCAATCCCGAAGCTTGAAAAGCCCATGCTTAGGATGGATGAACAGGAAGACAGAAAGAAAGTGGGCTGTGATCACATTGTGGAGTCATTAATGAGCCCTAGGACCCCCATGCCAAACTTCCTATTATATGAGGGAAAATTAATCTCACTATTTTAAACCACTTACAGATGTGTATCTATTACTACGAGTCAGATGCAATTCCCAGACAAGTCAGAAGGTATCGGGTAGTGTTCTCAGGGAAATAACAACATGTGTCTGTTGACTTTCTTGAGAATTCCCATTGCTTAATGGAAATAATAGTCACAAGACCCCCCACTTAACAAACAGCTCCTGTCAAGTAGGCTCTGGGCCGGGTGCTTTAGGATGTATTACAACCCAACCTCGTAATAACCCTGATCAGCAGGAGAGATTATTCCCATGTTACAGACAAGGGAACCGAGACTTGGAGAAGGGGAGGGCTTTGCCCAAAGCCACACAGTTATTAAGTGACACGCCTGGCTCTGAAGCCAGACCCAAAGCCTGTGCTCTTTCCACTGGGCTTCCTTCCCTGCCCCCCCCCCCCCCCGCCCCGGCAAACGCTGAGCCCTTCTCCAAAGCACCATGCAAGTCCTAACTCGGGTTCCCTGAAACAGCAAGGATTCCTGCCGATTCTTCTGTGTACCATCCCATCAGGAACATCAGAGAGCCAGAGTTAGAAGTCATACAGCTCATTTGGAGAAAAGCGTATGACAAAATGTTTCCGATTCAAGGCTTCGAATCATTTGCTTTAGTGAATAAAACTATGAAGGATGTGACTTTAGGTGCAAAGGTCGAAATATTAAAACCAATGATGAGCGAAACAGCAGTGACATCGAATGCTGGCAGATAGTTGCTGCGAGGTGGGGGACCCCACTCCTGGCGTGTAGGTGGCTTCCTCCCCATTTTCTAGGATATCTGAGACTAAGAGATGGTCCCTAACTTGCCCAGGAGTTACACACCTAGTAAGTAGTGCCTCAGATACTTATTCCTGTGTCACCCCAAAGTGCCCCGGGGAGTAGAGGCAAGTGAACGAACGGTCATGGGTTATAGTGCAGGCTATGGTGAGAACACGCTTGCTTTATCTCATGTCTCATGTTCAAAATTCATGCCAATTTTGTATTGTACTTGATGATATAATCATGTTATTTTTATATTAGGACAAATACATTAAATTATTTATCAACTGAATTATTTAACTTTTCTCTCCTGAAATGGACACTTGGGACAGATGTGCCTTGTTTCTTTGTCACATACCACTGGGAGAACCTCACCCCAGCTTGAGAGACGCAAGGTCTGTCTGAGTCCAAGGGACGGCAATTTCTATATGGTTTAAGGACCTCGTTCAAGGCAGCACCGCATTGTGTTTAATGCCGTCCCGTCTGTCACATCCTGTTTGCCACTCAGCAAACAGGAGTGGACGGTGCCAGCCACCAGAGCAATCCGGCCCCAGTCGGGGCGCTGACCCAGCAGCACAGACAGGCTCTCCCAGGAGCAGTCGGGGCGTGGGGGGGACCAGCCAGATGTGGGGCCGCACTGCACCCTGCCCGAATCCCAGGCCAGAGGGGCTGGTCTCACTGACCTTATGAAAGTCCGGAAGCCTGTTGGCCCCAGCTTCATTGTCCCCTTGATTCCCAGGAACCGGATAAACAAATTTGCCATTCTGTCCACCAGACGTAGGTAGTTGAACTGCTTGGCGTACTTGGGGAACACCTGCTTGAGGCAGATGGACGGCAGGTGGGCTTCGGGATTGCGGTTGCTGTCGGAGGCGTTGGCCGGCTCGCTGTCGGAAGGATCTTCCTTCACAGCTAGTGGCTGCTTGAGCTGCTGAGACCTGAGGAGCACAAGCAATTAGGGACACAACCAACCTCTGGAGCGGGCTTGACGATAGGCAGAGCACCTTCCCTCACCTATTCTCCTTTCCCTCCATTCACAGCAACCTCAGGAGCTGTGAGCGCTCTCACCATTTCTATCGTGCAGACCAGAAACTTGACCTCAGAGAAGCCAGCTCCCCAAGCTCACACAGCTAGTGTGTGGCAAGGCCAGGACTCGAACCCAGGACAGAGCCAGGACCGGAAGCTTACACTTGCTCTGTTCTCCCACCCTGGATCCCCAATCTGGACATCTTCCTTTACCGCGCTCGTGAGTCAAGAGAATATTCTATTACGGAGCAGCCTAGGTTTGATTTCAAACTCCTACTTGTGGGTAGTAATTGAATAATTAAGAAATATAAAAATCTCATTGAGGGCTGGCAAGAAACCAGAAGCACAGTTCAATGAACAATTTGCAAAGATACATCAGTTATCCAATTCTAGGAATAGGAACAATTACGTTTTCGGGCTTAACTGTTTTCTTATTTGGAACATATGCAAAAAATATGATTATAGTGTTGTAATTCCTGAGTCTGGATATTTTATCCTGAAATTATTCTGATACTCAAGAAAATTCCACAGCTGGTAACTCTCCCATATCCACCTTTGGCCTGGAATAGTCTTCTCACCTCCAGACCCACGTATCCAACTACCACCTGTTGCATCTTCAGGTTGGCCCCCAGCCACCCCAGACCGAAATGCCCATTTCCCTCCCCCCAAATCTATATTCCTCATCTCCTTGGATGTCACCCCCACCTGCCAACTACCTAAGCAGGAAATGTCAGGATAAATGCCAGTCCTCCTCTCCGTCTGCCCCTGCCACTAGTCCTAACTCCTCAGTATTTCTTGAAACCAGATCTGCTCTCCCCCACTGGGCCTCGTTGCCTCTTTCCTAGGCTCTATCAATAGCCTCCAGCTTTTCCCATCCATAGACCCATAGACACTGTCACTGAGGCACCTCTTCTTTTTTTTTTTCTTATTTTTAAAAATCTTTTTTTAGAGAGAGAGAGCGAGTGCAAGTGGTGGGGGTAGAGGGAGAGGGAGAGAGAGAATCCCAAGCAGGCTCCACGCTTAGTGCTCAGCACGGAGCCTGATGCAGGGCTCGATCCCACGACCCTGATATTACAACCTGAGCTGAAGTCAAGAGTTGGATGCCCAACTGACTGAGCCACCCAGGCGCCCCTTGAGGCACCTCCTCTAAAGCAAACCTGGCGTGGCTGCCCCTTAGTACAACTCTTCACTGATTCCCAAGTGCCTAGTGAGGTTCATACTCTTCACTCTGGCACTCAAGGCCCCTCTTGATTTCTTCTCCAACCTCCTCATTTCCTATCACTGCCCTAGACACATTATACCCTCAGAGGCCTTGGGCACTCCCTGCCACCCCACCCTGCTGCCCATTGGTCTGGTCTGGACCAGAGACTTGGTGCCCACTGGACACCCAGCTCTCTTCCACAGCTGGTGCCTCTCTCTGCCCTTGCAGCTCATCTCACTTTCCCCTCTGCTGTGCCGCCCACAGCTGGTCTAGGAACTGGTGTGACCATTTCCATCCATAACCTGCGTCCATTCCTGAGACAGAACCCTGAGCACATTGTACTTGGTCAGTAAATACTGCCCAACCGGCTAACTCCAGGAAAATTAGAACCATGTCACCTGGTATTGAGCTCAATACCAAGGCCAGTTTCTACTTTTTTCTTATTAAATGGCCTCATCCCCTGCGCTCCCACTTCCAAGCACGCCATCAGTCACCAAGTTGGGCCATCTTGGTATCTTTGTACCCTCTTTCCTTGGCCTTTGAGGCCTTCCCCTGGCCCTGGCTGCCTGGCACATTTCTGTTCCACTTCCAGAGCCAGCTCAGATGTCTCCTTGATCATGCTGATGACTCTGTTCCAGGTCCCACTCCTGTTCCTCCCTGCTTCCTCTGCTCAAGCGGCACTGCGTTTGTCTAGACGCCAATCCCTCCCTCACACCTCATTCAACTCTAACTCATTCAACTCAAACTCATTCAACTCCAAATCTCATTCAACTCGATTTCAACCTGGATCGTTTAGGTGCTTGGGAAATGTTTCATTGAACTTGTTGAATTGGGAGTTTGCTTTTAATGGCAAGGCAGGCCTCAAATAAAACATCAAGGTTATAATATTTTGTACATCATAAGGTCTTCTAAATGGGGAAGAGGTTTGATAGAGAAACAGCAAGCTTGACAGCCCTGCCCTAATAGTCTTCTCTTCATTCTGGATTAAGGAGTCAGCCTGTAAGGAAGAGAACCTCCTTGTGTGAGCCAAGTCCTGTGAATTCTGTTCACAGTTCCTTCGAGGTGGGTCATGGCATGGGTCTCAAAGCAAGGACAGGCAGAGGAGAGAACCAGAGCAGCACAAAGGAAACCCTCCCCCACTTTTTACGATTTATTTATTTATTTATTTGAGAGAGAGAGAGTCAGGGGAGGGGCAGAGGGAGAGGGAGAGAGAGAGAGACTCCCAAGCAGATTCCCCGCTGAGCGCAGAGCCTGACTACGTGGAGCTCAATCTCACAACCCTGAGATCATGACCTGAGCAGAAATCGAAGTCAGACGCTCAACTGACTGAGCCATCCAGGCGCCCCAGGAAAACCCTTCGTAAAGTTCAGCCGTGTGTGGATGGTTCTGGGGAAACAAAGCCTCGCCCACCAAGGAGAGGCCTGATTCCTGGGGAGAAACACCTTTCCCGGGGCGGGGGGGGTGCCGTCTCCCTCCAGCTAAGCCGGTTGTATCATCGTCTCCTTGAATTCAAGAACAGTAAATAAAAGTCAGGTGGTTACTTTTCAGACAAAATGAAATGTCTTCGCATGAAGGTTATAGGAAGACAGTTAAGAAAAGAGTAGCAGTATTACTGGAGATTAGCTCTTAAATTACTGGGTAAGTGGCAATCACTGACTTTATAAGCACTCATTAAGTTTTTGTTAGAGGGAAGATTTGGAAATGTACAGTTTGAAGGCGCTCAGTGCCAATGAAGAGAGCTCAGAACTCTTCCCAATCAGTCGTCCCATCTTCATGGTCTCATCCGCTCTTCACACAGCCCTGTGAAGTGACTTATTTTTATGCCCCTGTTCCAGATGAAGAAACCGAGAGTCCCTGCGGTTTGCCACAGCTGAACCAGAATTATAAATCCGTCCTTCCAGCGTGTCCATTGCCAATCCATCGCTTGAAAGCATGGCATGATTCACAGGGTGGGGGTCACACAATCCAAAGTACTGTTATTTACGTTGTGTTTTTGTTTGTTTGTTTGTTTTTAAAAGATTTTATTTATTTGACAGAGAGAGAGAGAGAGCGTGTGAGAGAGGGAACACGAGCAGGGGGAGTGGGAGAGGGAGAAGCAGGCTTCCTGCTGAGCAGGGAGCTGGATGTGGGACTCGATCCCAGGACCCTGGGATCACGACCTGAGCCGAAGGCAGATGCTTAACGTGTGAGCCACTCAGGCGCCCCTTACGTTGTGTTTTAAATAGTGTTTTTAGATTATAATAGTCACCCATGCTCTTTGTAGACATTTTGAGAAATGTATAAAAGAATCTAAATCATTTGTAATCCACAGCTCAGGGATAAAACCACTGTGTTTTGGTTTCTTATCTATATTTGTAAAGTTAGGATCACATTACACGAAGCGTAAATTCTTCTTTTTATGCTTTACATGACATCCCAAGTGTCTTCCCATGGCATTAAATATGTTTTCAGGAGCAGAATTTCTCATGGATGTGTGATATTCGGTATTAAGCCCGAACCATAATTTAATCAGCTACCCCCCTCAGTTGAGTGTCTCTGTGGCCTGTCTTTGACTAAATGGGGTGTGGTGGTCGGTCTTAGGCGATGTGCTCTCTCCCAGAAACATAACCTGTCACAGCAGGTGGAAGCCTTGGAGGTCATTCTGTCCAATGATGTCATCTATTTCTTCGTATGTGGTCTAATGTATACAACATAAAATTCACCATTTTAACCACTTTAAAGTATACATTTCAGTGGCATTTAGTACATTCACGGTGTTGTGTACCCATCACCTCTATCTAGTTCCAGAACATTTCTATGACAATGCCATTTCAGAGGAGAAACTTTAATTCCAGGCAGATAAGGCCACTAACACCAGTGGGTCATTTAATTAGCAGATGGGCCAGGGTGGTGGTGGCCTCCGCTCGGGTCGCCCGGGTGATGGGGGCCCCACCACCTTCAGGGGGCCTCTCGGGCTGGGGAAGTTTTCCTAATGACGTGCATGTCAGAGGATATCTCCCACCAGTGTCCTCAGCCTGCACCCCGCCCTACGCCCAGAGCCACGCAGAATGAGTGTTTTTTCTCTTGAACGTGAGCCCTTCACATTTCCTTCAAGGGTTGCTGTGTTTACTGGCTGACTGCCATTTCCCTTCCGTCCTGAATCCCAATTAATAAGCTCAAGATGAAAAGGGCCTTCAAAGCCACAGATACCATTTTCAGGAACTCAAAACCACAAATTTAGCGGGGAGTGTTTTACTCAACCGGAAGAAGGCAGTAAAGATGTAGCTGATTTAGAAGATGAAATAAAACAATGAGGGTGCCTGGGTGGCTCAGATGGTTAACGTCTGCCTTTGGCTCAGGTCATGATCCCAGGGTCCTGGGATCGAGTCCCGCATCGGGCTCCCTGCTCAGTGGGGAGCCTGCTTCTCCCTCTCCCTCTGCCACTGCCTCTGCTTGTGCTCTTCTGTCTGTCTCTCTGTCAAATAAATAAATAAATAAAATCTTTAAAAATAAATAAATAAATAAAACAATGAAAAATGGTATCTTTGCTTGAGCTAATTCCAATGATCACATCAAGATCCAAGTTATCGCAAATACTGTAAAATCTTGTTTTTATTTAATAGCATTTAATGGAAACGTCGGGTTTATGAAATAAAAGTGGCTGGTAAAGAAAACATAAATCAAACTTACTATCCTTTGGGGTAATTTTTTTATTATTATTGAATTTGGTAT